TGTTGATGGGAGAATGCGTAGTTCTCTCCGAAGTGATGAATCTGAATATTCAAAGAGGGTACATTTACCTGTAGTAAATCCAACCACTGCGAAAAGCATCAAAAATATGTTAATAGCCCAGACTTTTCGGCTCAAACATCCCATTGCGTAGCAACATAGAAGGTCAATAATTGGTGGAAATACAACTGCAAGTACAGTTCCTGCGAATGACCCGACGAGCGAGATGAAAAGCGCCAGATGAGGAATTAATTCAGCTGTTACACCTGAAGGCATTAACCAATGCTTCTCTCGGATAAACAGGATATTTCACCCTCAGAGTTTACTTCGTAACAAGCACATTTGTAAATATAACAGTGGACGCCTAATTTCATGAGTTTAGAGCTAGCGAAGTAACTAATAAGTTGAGTGATCTGTATATGCAATGAAACGAGTAATGATTTATCAATGACTGCAAAAATTTTATGTAATTTATGGCAAAAGAGTGATGTTATGACTTTTTCAGCCCTCATTGGTCGTTATTTACTATCAGCTGTTTTAATTTGGTGTTGCGTAAATAACGCTTTCGAAATTGGCATTGGATTGAGAGCGTTGTTCACATTACACATAAAGTGAAGAATTGAATGAAAGGAAGCGAAATGAACTGACGACTCACACGTCAAGAGAACACCGCAGCCTCGAATGAAATAAATGAGAAATGTTTGTCGGTCTTTCCGTATTTTACGTGATATCCATTTCTCGATTCTTTCCATAGGAACGTAGAATTGGAGTGGATATGATATCAAAACGCAACAAACGAACATCAGTTTAACCACTTGATAGAATCTGAACTATTCAACCGCTTTGAATCGATGAAATTCAGAACGTTCATCTTCATTTTCATCAATTTTTTGGAATCTTTCAGATCAGTCTGTATCTTTACAGACTCCGTCGATAATATTGATGTCACAAAATTGACGAACTTCATCATTAAAAGTAACTTCATTGAAATGATAAATCACTACTAAAGAGCTCTAAAATAATTGTTTTAAAATGTTCACTCACGGTGTTTGTGGGAGATTGAGTGTCATTGTATCTCTGACGCTATCGCCAAATTTCAAGAAACCAAAGAAACCAACAAATAAATATAAGAGTAACACTAATATAAAAGACGTATTAAGGACACCAGTTGATGATATGAAGTGATAGGGTTCATTCATTTGATTCTCGATAGGAAGCACCTTGAACATTACTACTCTGATCATATATCGTGGGATTACAACGGTAACTTTCAAATTAATGATATTCGGTGGTTATCAAATTTTGCATCCAAATTCATCAAAATTTCAGTTGGATGTTCATACTTTGATAACTGTTAGAGGAGGCGAAAACAAAATTTGCGTCAATGAATCAAATGCATTTTAATTCATTCCAGCTACATGCTTAATGAAAACTGAATGNNCGAATATGCAAAATAAATCCAAACTAATTCTATGAATAAAACATCGTGAATTATAATGCTACTTACCACAGCGATTCCTTCGAACGAGAACATGACAGTACCGTAGAACAACGGTAAGTTACTCCAATTTGACGGGAATGCGGGCAGTGTATAGCTCGGTAATGCATCAGTAAAGAGATAACTCAGAACGATCAAGAAGGCAACCATATAAACAATGTTCGCCATAAAAGCTAATGGCGCTAATGCCTTCAACTGTCGAATTGTACACAACGCTGCCTCAGGTATCAACAGTATTGCAATCCACGTATTCGTTGATAAACGTATCGTTGAAGTCTCATCGAAAAACTCAAAAAATAAATTCATTCAAACCGATACACAGCTGACAATGAGCAAATGTTTGAACATTCAATACACTACAGAAAAATGAATATTAATATTTATATAAAAACACAGCAAGTGAATACGAAGCAAGTTCCGCCAAGGTTTTACAGCAAATTTTCGCTTGAAATCAAATCGAACTATATATAAATTGTGTTCAAACGAGCAAAATATCTTACTTGCTTTACGTTATCAGCCATGAACACCAAATAGACACAACAAAATCCGAATTGCGCCACAAATAAATTCATGTTAACTGTTTGCCTGAATTGCATTTTAAAGGAATTGAAATGGCACTCTTTCATCCATCACTGAGTTGCTCAAAAATTCACAATGTGGCTATGCTCACTATCAGTAAATACGAATATGCTCTCTGCTAAAAATAAGATGACAATACATCAGATGACATAGCAATTCTTCATGAACATTTCCTAATCATAAATTTGCTCTCAACTACAATTCAGAGTTTCATCAGCTTGCATTATGTGTACCAAGAAAGAAGAGCAAATGTCACACTCACTTTGCAAAGTATCCGTATTCTCTGATGCATTCGGGTCCTAATTCAACAGCTGTTCTCATAACATTTGCATAATCCATTTTCTGCTGTCCTTTCCTAAAGCACGTGTAATGCGATGCAATAACCAATTGCCTCGCACAATAAGTGCTAAGCCAGCAGATTATGGTCAGTAAAATCAATCCCAACTGAAACATTTAATGCCCGTTAAAACCATTATAAGATCAAAACCAAAGTCATCAAAAAGATCACACGATACGATTCGAAATGAACTGAACGTTGTTTGTTATCGTATCCAATCAAATAACAAACCGCCCATCCTGAATATTTGAAGGCCAGCGGCAAAGAAAGCATTCCAGTACCCATCATACACTTCATCATGTGAATAAGTGCTTGTTCTGGTGTTATACTTGCCGCCGTTACAGGCCGTTCGCCGAACAGATCCGTCTCAATGTCGAATGCATGAGTTGAGATGTCGGAGCTGCTGAAATATGACTGCTTACTGTCATCAAATATGGACGTCGCTGTTCACTGCAATCGAACGATCGAAACTGGAACCCTTTACCGATAGTTTCAATCGAAAGTGGTTCCTTGATATGAAACCTTCTGTTCAAACAACGATAAACCGGTGAATTAACATTAGTAAAAACTGA